AAAGGTGCTTCGTCAGCCAGCTGGGAGCAGAAGCCGGATGGGCAATGGGCATGGGAAAAGCCACGGGGCCTTCAGAGGTCTGCAGAAGGTATCCAGGGGTCAGGGAGGCCAAGACTCAGCCCCAGAAAAGGAGGTGAAGGCCAGGGAGAGTGAAAGAGCAGGGAGCAAGCCTCCAGGCTCCTGCAGGAGGGGGAGGGAGGCAGGTGCTAGAGAACACCTCCTTCTGAGAGCTGCGGGTCACGCGAAGCTGCTGAACAGGGGACAGAACTGCCTCGCTCCAGGGCTTCAAACCTGTGCTCTACAGCACGCGAAATCCAGGTCAGGGTCCCCGGGGCTGGCATGTGGAAACCCCCTCCTGCCCAGCCCCACCTACTTTACAGAGAAGTGAAACAGGCAAGCAGGTCCCTGAGAAGCCAATACTCCGGCTGCCCAAACTTCTGAGTTCACTTGCTTATGGCCTGTCGGGAGCCAAGAACGTGGCATAGTGCTTGGAAGCCTGTGACTCTCACTGACGTGCTCAGATCAGTGGAGGAGTCTGGGAGTGGGGGCAAGGGGCAGAGAGCGACACATGCCTGCAAAGTCAGGGTTTTCATCTTTCGGGGTTTTTGTTTCTTCGTTTTTGGTGTGTTTTTTTTGCTATTTGATAACAGGAAGCGGCAGAAGCAGACTGGGGTGATGGCTACATCCCTCTAAAATGAAAACTTTTCATCTCCCAACGCAAGCCATTCCCAGAACTTTGACTGCTGGAAGAAGAACGCCGTAACTGAGAAGCACAGGGAAAGCCAGACTGCTCAGAGCATCCACTCGCTTTCATCCATTCCATGAAACATCCACGCTTCAACGTTCAGACCAAGTACTTGACCCAAAGGGCAAGCCTATGCCCATGTCTGTTCCAAGCAAGGCCTATAACCCGAGAGAAGTCCAGGCAGCTGCTCCCCGGTGGAGGGAGAACCCCGCCCTAAGAGGGCAGCCGGGCTGCGGCAGGACCGGAACCAGGTATGGGGACGCCAGGTGCTTCTCTTCCGTTGCTGAGAGATAACTGTTCCACCGGCAGCAGCTCTAGATTCTCTGCACAGGAGGGGGCTTGGGGAGATGGCCAGGGGGCAGGAGGGGCCGGCAGCCTTGCACTGAAGCTGTACTGAGATCATATGTTCACATGGAGGGATTTCTAAAAAAGCTGGTGAAAATCAGGGGAAGAGTAAGCGTCCCTAAAGCATGAGCGGCTCTAGTGTCTAATACACTGGGCTTTGGGAAATAGGCACTCAGTTGACTGCCAAGGTGCTAAGAACCAAGAAACCGACAGGACCCTTCACGGCTTCAACACGCAAAGGCAGCTAGCCTCCCTCTCCTCGGCAGGCGCGCCCTCCAAGCAAGGGTGGATCTGGGCCTGGACGCTGGTCTCCTCACTTTACAGACAGCGAAGGGAAAAACGAATATGCGGATGGCACGCTGCCACACCTGTCCTACACGGAGTGGCCCCAGCTGGGCAACTTGGGCATGTGCGCTGAGCCCGGAGCCCAAGCAGGCTTCCACTCGTTTGTTCCCTCAACGCGTAACCATGACTGGAGGGCAGTCCCATTTGAAGGCCATGTGGGCATGATCTGACGTCAAATGCTGCTGTGTGGGACACAGCAATGTTACCAGCGATGAGGGAGAGTACTCAAAGGAACAGGCGACGTCCTGGTCCTTCGGGGTAGCCGAAAGGGGGGCCCAATTTGAGGCGGGTGTGACCGCTGATCAGGAAACAGGGCACATCATGGCCACAGTGTGGACAGAGCAAGCCCAGCTTTCAGTATGTGCCCCGAGGCCCATCCCTAGAGCTCCGCAGGACAGAGCTCCTTCTCACGTGGGACTCTATGTGGCCAGCTCCAGGCTTAGCAACAGGAGGAATTTATTGATTTCACGACAGTGATTTTGAAAAGTGGATGTGGAGAGACAACAGCTAACAACCTTCATATTCTCACCAGCAGCCACCATGTTTTATCCCACAGGCCTTTCCTAGACACTGTCTCTACTCTCATCCTGTAAATGTTCTTCCCGTTGCAGGAGCTCAGAGAGGTCAGGGGTTCACCACAGCCAACAGGTTAGTAGATGGAAGCCAAGACTCACAACCAAGCCCAGGCGCTCTCTATTACAGCCTTAGGAAAGGCCCTCAGAGCCCAGTATCCCAGCTGGTCTTTCCCAAGTAACTACGGGGCCCACCCTGCTTATCATCCAAGTCAGATGCTGGTAAAGCAAGAGCTGGTGCACCTGAGCACCCGTCCCTCAGTGGGCCCACGGTGGGTGCTGGCAGTGGCACAGCTAGGATGAGGATTCTCTGCTGCCAGATCGGCCGTGGAGGCCCCAGGGGCTACATCTGAGGACAGACCAAACAGGAGGGGACAGAGTGCCTGACTCAGTCTGGTTCAGGGCCCTTCTGGACAAACCTGGGGCCACCTATGCAGGCCACTCTGTCCAGCAGCCTACCGAGGGGTCACCCGCCACCCTCTCCTTATCATCGCCCCTTGTGCGTGAGAGCCAACCCTCCTCCAAGTACAACCCTCATCTTGGGCACGAGACCACCAACTCCACTTTGGTGCCAACCTCTTGCCAAGTCCAGCTAACACACTTTAAACTCCCTAGTGGGATGAAATCGCTCAGCCGCTGCAGGAGGATAGGGGGAGACAACAACAACAAAAAAAGCTCTGAGCAAGGTACCTCCGTACCTGTCCTTAAACTCACCGTCCCTCAGCCATCTGTGCTGAGAGGTTGGTCGGAGGCATTCCAGGACATACTCGCAACCCGTTTTGCAAAGCTGAAAATCAGGGCTCCCGTGCTCCTGGAAGGACATGTAGGTCCCACAGCAAAAAGTTCCGTTGGCCGTTAAATCGCTTTGCATTTACAAATTCGCAAACAGCTCAGTCCGGCACCCAGTTAAGGAATCGGAGCACAAAATTCACTTGGCCACATCTCTCCTTATCAGCCACACTGGACCCTTATATGGCACGGGCTTTTGGATGGTGAACGGGCACATGGATATTCTTAGCCGGACAGCAAGCTAAGGGGAAATGACAGGGACCCTGCAACATCTGTAAGTACCTGCAGGTGTATTTCTTCTCACAGTTTATTTCTTCGTGACTTTTCCAAAGAGGGGCTGCCTGCTTTTCCATCACCCAAATCTGAGCCCCAGCCCTGCGAATGTCTTTAGAGAGATGCATATGTTCACACTAAAAATGCTTCAGCTCTGGGCTTACATTTTAAACCTATATTCTCATCTCTTCCGTTACCACACCCTCGTTTTTTTCCTGGCGAAGCCTTCAGAGTTTAAAATCCATGGAAGACTCTTCTTTTAATTCTGTCAGTATAAGGCAATGTTGCAAGCAAAGTTTTGCTCTCTCACACTTCCCCCATGTGAAAGCGGGTTTATGACCACAAACATTTTGTATTAATAAATGTCTCAGCACACCCACGCCGGAAAATCAGATTAAAACCTCATCCTCAACTAGAATTCCTTCCACAGTCTACGACTTCCTTGGAAAACCTCTCCAAGCCCAGCCCCTCCTGCCTGCAGCCTCAGAGCTCTCAGGGCTGCGGATTTCCCTGTATACTGCAGGCTCCTTTGGACTTCTTTGACCCTCACCACAAAAGTTGAGCCTGAAAGGCCAAAGAGCCGCAGATTTGGCACCAAACAGGTTTTAGTTAAACACGTTTCCAGGAAAAGGCCGACTTTCGGAGAAGCACAGAACACTCAGGCCTTTGTGACTTAGTATGGGTCACCCCTGAGTTTTTTCTAGTTTCAGTGTTTCTTCCTCCACAATGTCCGGCCCTCTAGAAGGCCCAGCAGAGTGTCTAGGTCAGAGGCCCAGGCATGCCCTTATATGTCCCAAAGGCTTGCGACAGCTCATTTGCACGTATCCCTCGTTTTTCACTGGAAAAAGGAGGCCACCGTACTCATTCCCAAAACTAAGCAGCTCATCGGGCTCACTCGGAAACATCTTAGGGCTTCGGGTTTTGCCTCCTAATCTTGTAAGGCACTTCTTGCTTCTTGTTACCTTGCTGGACAATTTCACTCTCCGCACACAGCTCATCACAAATAGTAATATTATTAGTATAAAAGGCTGACTGCCTTCCCTGGCAGGCCAGGGGGGATATTATTATTCCCGGGGGGAACTGAGGCTCTAGAAGGTTAGGTCACCCAGGGCCAGAGAGCTAAATGGCAGAATGGATCAGAACCCAGGCCTGCCTGGCTTAAAATCCCTTGTTGTTGGCACTTTGGTCTGACAAGTCTCGGGTCCCCTGCGGCCCGGCGGGGCAGCTCCAGATGGAGGGTCTGGAATGACCTCCTTCCTTCTCTCGGCGGTCCTCCACGAACTGCCCCGGGGAGCCCCCCAGCCCCACACCTCCGGCTCCGGGCCGCCCCCCCCCCCCCCCCCAGTTCCTGCGCCTTCTCCTCTCCAGCCCCTGCCCGCGCGCCTGGCGGGGGCGGCTGCTAGCGGGCAGGGGTCCGCCCGGCCGGGGACGCCTCGGGGGGCGGGGAGCCCGGCCCGCTCCGCACCTACCTCGTCCCCGAAGCGCACCACCTTCTGGCCCGTGGGCCCGCGCAGGCCGGGGAAGCGCGCCAGCTCCTCGGGGTCCCCGGAGTCGCGGGGCGCCGGGGCGCTCGGCGCCACCAGGCACCGGTCGATGATCTCGTCCTGCTGCGCGGGCGGCAGCCGCGCCCACTCGGGCCCGTACTTCTCCCGGATCTTCTCCTTGTCCTGCATGATCTTCCTGGCCATGGGGCTCAGCGACGAGAAGTAGGTGAAGCGCTTCCGCTCCCTGTCGTCCAGAGGCCGGTTCCCGCTCATGACGGCCGAGCGCGACGCCGCGATCGCCGCCGCCATGGACGCCATGCCCGGCCTGCCCGCCGCTCCCCGCCCCGCCCCGCGAACGGCGCCCTTCAGCGGCCCGGAGCCCGGCGCCCAAGGCCCCAGCGACCCCGCCTCCCGCCCAGTCCCTGAAGCCGCGCCCCCCGCGCCCGCCCAACGCCGGGGACCCCGCCCTCCGCGCCACCGCCCCCGAGGGTCCCGCCCCCTGTGCCCCTCTGCTTCCGGGAACCTTGCGCTCCTCGCCCCTCTCCCCCCGGGAGCCCCGCCCTCAGCGCAGCTCCCAGAGCCACCGTCTCGCGCCTCCTTGCGTCCTCCGGATCCGCTCTCTCAGGGCTTACAGCGGGGCCCCCGCTTTTCGGGGCTCCCCTCGGCCAGCGCCGGAGGTGGCTGGCGCATCCCCAGGTCCGCGCCTGGCAGCCTGACGGGACTGTTGGGGGTGACCGCCATAGCGCCACGTGGTCACTTGTTTGACAAAGGAAACTTTTTTCTCCTTACGAAGTGCGGCATTTCTGGTCCGAGCCACCGGCCGCCTTATGCCTATTGTATTCCCTTTCCCTGCCGAGCCATCTTTTTCGCTTTCTTTGAGCTGTCCCAAACCTGGGCTAGGGTCCTGGCGCGGTGAGCTGATGGAAGGGGGTCGGGGGTTCAGGGCAGCGAGGGCGCCGAAGGTACGAGCTGGGGAGACTGGACTGGTGTCGGGAGTGGCGACAGAAAATCAGGTTCCATGCCTCCTAAAGAGAGGAGTAAAATGAAGTGCCGGGTAGCTCACGGTGCCTTTCCCTAAAAGGGAGTGTGGAACTGCCGGCAGGCATCTGGGGCCGGCGGGCTGGTGCACCTGCACTCCTATGTGCTTTTGCAGGTGAAGACGTATTCCCCGAGCCGGCCGCGGGGCCTTTGCTTTCTCTTGGAATCTCACGAAAATCACGAGAACTCTAGGCGGCTTGAGGTTTGCAAACCAACTGAAGAGCGGCAGAAAGTTTTCATAGGCAGGTCAGCCGGGCCATTTTGAAGTGTGCCCCAGAGCACAACGATTAAAATTATACAGAGCCCTCATCTGCTTTACTTTCTGGCTGATTTGACTGTAACAGGTCTCAGGTGAGAATTAAATGTCCACATTTAAAACAAAAAACTGCATTTCAGCTGTTACTTAGGGTCATTGCCTCTGAAGTAGGCAATGGCTAATTGGCTAATTCTTGGCTAATTCTGAAACTTGTATAGTGTTATAAACCAGTGTTGCCTCAAATAATAACAATAAAGCACTTGGATAATTCTGAACACAGTCATAGAAATAACTCGCAGGGTTCTGTTTTAAATGTGAGATGGCCTTATCTTCTGGCGCAGAATTCCTTAGAAAATATTTTTAGAATGCCATGAATGTGACAAGCTCTGCAATAAAACATATTGCTCTCAACAGTGTTATCAGCATACCATATTGAAAAGCAGTGGGAAAAGCCACGAAGTAATAGCCTGGATTGCACAGTATTTGAAGGTCTATAGAGGCCAGGAGGTTGAGTTTTTTGGTACTATTCTATCTCTAGATAAGTCTATTTTATATAGGCTCAATACACCAACCTGAATCCTACTTTCTCACCTCTAAGACTTGTTTAATAAGGTGGGTGATGTTTAAAGATGTATTCTTGAAATTTAATTAACATCTTTAAGGTTGCTTTGAAAGTCACATAGAAAGGGTTCTGTGCTGTTAGAAACTTGGTTGCATGTGGTTTTCACAGCAATTGCAACAATAAATGTTGATTGCAGAAAAGCACAACCCGATTAAGTGTTTCAGATCGAATATAATTTATTACTAGAGAAGCCATAATATAAATATAGTATGAAATAAATCAGGGACGTCAGCCAAAGTATGTAAAATCCATGATCTTGGTGATAAGGGGTAACTAAAAGAAAATTTCTTCCAAATTAAAAGAAGACACTCAGGAGAATTAAATGGCTCTGACAGATGACTTTGCTGAAATTAGGAGATAAATGGGCAGATAGATAGATAGATAGTAAATAGATAGTGAATCTATCTATCTATCGATCTGCCCATTTATCTCCTAATTTCAGCAAAGTCATCTGTCAGAGACATTTAATTCTCCTGAGCGTCTTCTCAGGAGAATAAAGATAGCCCAACCCCAAATATGTAGTAAGGTGAAATAGTGGGATGATTCGAGCGCTAAGCATCTTCTTAGGCAAGAGTTTGGATAGAGGCAGGCTGCCGTGTCCTTTGTGGATTTGGTTTAGCCAGTGGGCTCTTCACAAAATGAAGAGACAAGCATGTGGTCACTGACCCTCTGAAATGCTTTAAAACCTTGCACTGTTCCAAAGAGCATTCCTTTATTCATCAACATTTTATTGAGGCATTTGGTGTTTGTTCCTAGAAGGCTTTTCTTAAGAACTAGGGAGACACAGCAAAGAGTGCTTTAACTAAAGTTTAAACTGTCTCGGTGTCTTGAACTGTGGAGCTCTTTCTTGGCCAGTGTCATTTCAGCTGTTTTTCTCAGAAGAGTTCTTGAGTCCCCACCAGAATGTAAACTCCACAGTAGGGAGATCCTTATCTGTCTTGTTTACTCTTGGGAACAAGCATGTGCCTGATTCAGAGTTAAGGGTTCAGTGACTATTTGCTGAATGAATTATGAATGAAGAAAGGAACGAATGTTGCATAGTTTACATTATTATCCCATCTTTACAGATGAAGATACTGAGCCATGAAAGGAAAAAACTTCACCTGAGATCATCCCCCGTCGCCCCTCATGTGATGGAACGGAGAGTCACAAAACAGAGGTGCCTTTGCCTTTTGTTAAATCTCTAACATTAGATTAATGTGTCTAAGGTTAATTACTGGATTATTAATAATAAACTGGGTTTATGGCTACAGTTTATTAAAGCTTCCAAATTACTCATTAGTAAAAGACAGCACTCATTTCTTCAGTATAATAACTGAATACCCGAGACGATCACGAACATTTCCATTATACGCCTGACGTCTCAGCTAACAGTTGCTGGCCTGGAACTCCTCTCCCCAGGTCAGCACCTTTCTTAAACCTATTGACAGAGATGCAAACAGCAAGGCCACCCCCAGGGTTGGAGACTGCCCTGCAGGCACCTCTGGGAGACCTGGGGGCTGCCAAGATTCAGTGGCTTTGGGGAAAAGCTCAGAGGCAATGAAGTCGGGTGCACCTGAAGTGGGGTGCCGTGGTCAGGCACCTGGCCACCACAGAGGTGCTCAAAACCTGTTGAAGCCTCAATCCCTTCACTTTTTTTTTTTTTTTTTTTTTTTGCGGTACGCGGGCCTCTCACTGTCGTGGCCTCTCCCGTTGTGGAGCACAGGCTCCGGACGCGCAGGCTCAGCGGCCATGGCTCACGGGCCCAGCCGCTCTGCAGCATGTGGGATCCTCCCGGACCGGGGCACGAACCTGTGTCCCTGCATCGGCAGGTGGACTCCCAACCACGGCGCCACCAGGGAAGCCCAATCCCTTCATTTTTGATACAGAGACAACTATACCAGCCTTCAAGGGTAGCACGTCAAATGAGAGGGGTGGGTGACACGTGCGAAAGGCCCTCCCTCAGCCAGTTAGTACAAATGTCTGTTGAATGAATTTGTTGTCCCAAACAAACCATTTGTGAGCCCACTCCCCCCATGAAGACACTGCCAGCTCATGGGAAACCACAGGGCACGCATTCTAGCCCTGCTTCTAAGAGCCGAGTGACCAGCTATGACATTTTACAAGCCGGTTATTGACGCTCATGGTGAAATTCCAGGCACTGTGGCAAACATGACAGTTTTGGGAAGGGACTCTGTTGGTGACATAGCAGGCAGTCGGCTGGTAGATAAAGCCAGCCTTCCTTACTGACTTTTTCAGCTTGGATGCAGGCAGGCTCCCTGAGGAGGATGATTCATTCCTGCATCTGGTTCTGGTTATTCCAGATGCTGCCCTGAAAGAGGACTGTTCTCTGTTCTTCACTCCCACACCCAGAAAGAACAGGAGATGGAAGAGAGTCGGCCTGGTGTATTTAGAAGACCGACTTCCCTGTGTGATTGGAGGGCAGTGTTCTTGACCAAGACAAAAAAGAGATGCAGCAAGAAAGAAAAGACAAGGAGATGATTTTACAAATCTACTACGGGCAGGGAATGTGCTTTGAATATGTTGAAGGTTTGGGTTATTTTTGCCATTGTAGGGAGAGTTTTCACTGACACAACCACGGTCTGTCACCACGTCCGGGCAGGTGTGAGGCACTCCCTGTGCCAACAGGAGCAGAATCACCTCTGGGTAAGGCTGCATAATCCGCGTGAGGCTCAAAACTGGGTCCTTCCCTGTCAACACCATACTTTACATAGCAAAGACAACCGGCTTGACTGCTCTGCGAAAAATGCTGAAAGACCTCTTGAAAACAACAAGACCCTCCCTGTCCAAAATTTTCCATTTAGAAAAGCCTCTGCAATTTTTAGTCCTTCGTAAGAATATAAATAAGTCCAGAAGCAATTGTTCACTTTTTCCCCTTCACCTGAAATTCCCACCCCACTGTCGCCAACTATAGAAATTCCATCCTTAAGACCTAGCCCAAATGAAGTCCCCATGACCACCCACACCGAAGTGAAGGTAGGTAGGCACAAAAGAGACAGTTTGTCTCCTTTATAATCTGATCTCAGGTAGACCTTTGTATTTTAATATTTATTTATTTATTTTTGGCTACGTCAGGTCTTAGTTGTGACGCGAGGGCTTCTCTCTAGTTGCGGCGTGCGGGCTCCAGAGCACACGGGCTCAGTAGTTGCGGCACGCAGACTTAGTTGCCCCTTAGTATGTGGGGTCTTAGTTCCCCAACCAGAGATCAAACCCACGTCCCCCGCATTGGGAGGCGGATTCTTAACCACGGGACCACCAGGGAAGTCCCCCTCAGATAGACTTTTGTGTCCTGGGAAGAACAATGCCAACATTTTTGGCATTGTACATGTGTGTTATGGACTGTAGGTCAAATTCACATGTTGAAGCCCTAATTCCCAATGGAATGGTATTTGGAGGTGGGGTCTTTGGGGGCTGATTAGGTCCTGAGGGTGGAGCCCTCGTGATGGGATAGTACCCTGATAAGAGGGTACAAGAGAGCTTGCCTCTCTCACTGTTCCCCACCGTGTGAGGACACCAAGAGGCCATCTGCAAAGCAGGAAGCAGGCAGACCCGGGTCTGCTGGCGCCTAGATCGTGGGCCCCCGTTTCCAGAACTATGAGAAATAAGTATTTGTTGTTTGTATCCTTCTAGCGGCCTGAACCCAGACAATGTGGAAATGGCTTCAAATTCATATAAAATCTTTGGCTTACTGAGAATGTATAGATGTAGTTAGAGAGAGGATGAAGGAGATAAAAAATGGCTGATGGAGAGGAGAGACAAAAGTATGTGGCAATGGGGACTTCCCTGGCAGTCCGTGGGTAAGACTCCACACTCCCAGTGCAGGGGGCCCGGGTTTGATCCCTGGTCGGGGAACTAGATCCCCCATGCATGCCGCAACTAAGAGTCTGCATGCTGCAACTAAGAAGTCCACATGCCGCAACTAAGACCCGGTGCAGCCAAAATAAATAATAAATAAATAAGTTTTTTTTAAGTATGTGGCAATGATTTACTGATTGAGAAGTAAAGGGAATTCCTCTCTCTCTGTTCCTCTAAACAATCTGCGCTCAACTTGTACACGCTCCCAGATGCGGAATGTGTTTTTCTTCCTTCTGTGTTTCTCTTCATGTCAGCTGCCCTGACATTTGTCAAATGGGCTCCTGGCTCTTGGCTTGTGGATGTCTCCACTTTGAGCTTTGTAGATGGTTGTCCAGCCTCCCTGGGGGAGTTCAGGAGAAGCCCCTGGAGCTCGCTGCTCCACGGGAGACACTAGGCAGCTTGCTCCTTACCTCTTTCATCGTTAGCCAGAGCTCAGGCACTCGCTTAAAACTTTATGAAGTTCAAAAGACTGACTTTCGGGGACCATAGTATTTTCACTCTATGGTCTCTTTTTGGATTTGATCTATGTCCTTGAATCTTTTTAACTTGAAATATTATCAAAATACCAAGATGCTTTGGAGAATGAAAATGACTATGGAAAAATGAAAACGGTTGTCTGTTAAGTTTCTGTGATTGTATTTTAATTTTTGTGAAGATGTTGTTTAAACATTTGATACATTAAAATTGTCAAGTACTGTGAGTCACAGAGAGTGAGATGCTACTGAACACTGAAAATACGAAATATATGTGCTGTTGTCAGTGAACCTGACCCCGTCTAACCTGCAAGACAGGAAGTAAAGGAGAGCAGCTCCCGCCTTTGAGTAAATGACAGTCACTGGCCAGTGCCCAAGGGGAGCCCTTAATAAGTACTTGTCAAACGGATGAGAGGTGGGTGGAGGAGGGAATCTCACCAACAGCTTGGCCCCCATCATGTTGTGATACAGCTCACAACTTCATCCCAGAGGTCGACTCAAAAAACAAGTTGTATCACATTCGTAATGGTCTTCGAAGTATCTCTTCATCCTTTCCCCAATGTCCCCACCATACTCCAGGTCCCGTCATCCGTCCTGGCGTGGCCGGCCTTCCCAACTCCAAGCCACTCCCTCCAAGTTGCCTCTGCCAGCCTCCTCTTTCACAGCGCCTCCAGTTGGGTGTCTCCCATTTTTTTTTTATTGTGATATAGTTGCTTTACACTGTTATGTCAGTTTCTGCTGTACAGCGAAGTGAATCAGCTGTACGGATGCATACATCCCCTCCTTCTTATACCTCCCTCCCATCCCCCATCCCACCCATCTGGGTCATCACAGAGCACCGAGCTGATCTCCCTGAGCTATACAGCAGGTTCCCACTAGCTATCTGTTTTACACGTGGTGGTGTATATAAGTCAAACCTAATCTCCCGAGTCATCCCACCCACCCCTCCCCCCAACCCTGTGTCCATACGCCCCTTCTCTACGTCTGCGTCTCTGTTCCTGTCCTGTAAATCTCTACCATTTTTCTAGATTCCACATAAATGCGTTAATTTACGGTATTTGTTTTTCTCTTTCTCACTTAGTTCACTGTGTATGACGAACTCTAGGTCCATCCACGTCTCTACAAATGACCCAATTTCATTCTTTTTGCTACCACTTTAGGCCCAAACTCTCTCTGGCGATCACCTTCATCCTTGTTCCTAGCTCTGTGCCCAGCCGTCCATTTGGTTAGGAAGTCTTTCTTCCTCACGACCACCTGTCCAAATTCTACCTATTCTTAAAAGTTTGGTTTAAATGCCATGTCACTGACCCTTACTGCATCCCCTCTCGCTGTAGTGTGGTAACCGTAGCATCCATGCCCACCGACACACCGTGGGCATTGACCTGAGTGGCTCCGCGGAGCCCACCGTGGTTACACAGGTGGCTGCATGCCCGCCTACGGGCGAGCCATCCGCTGGGAGCTTCCCTGTCCGCCTCCACACAGCCGCCCCCAGCCCCGCCCCTCTCCCTGCTGGTCCAGCGCCTATAGGCTGTCACCCTTCAGTGACCTCCCTCAGTCCCTAGAACTGTTAGGCTAAAACCCCAGAAATATGGAGAGTTATGATTAAGCTGTTGTTTTTTTTTTTTCCTGCTTTTTAATTTTTATTTTATTTTATTTTATTTTGCAGTACGCGGGCGTCTCACTGTTGCGGCCTCTCCCGTTGCGGAGCACAGGCTCTGGACGCGCAGGCTCAGCGGCCGTGGCCCACGGGCCCAGCCGCTCCGCGGCATGTGGGATCCTCCCGGACCGGGGCACGAACCTGCGTCCCCTGCATTGGCAGGCGGACTCTCAACCACTGCGCCACCAGGGAAGCCCCTGATTAAGCTGTTTTGAAAACATCATACAACAGAGGCCAGAGAGAGGTCGAGAAAACTACATTGCAGAAATATTAGTTATGTTTTATATCAATAACCGAGAGCTAGATGGAACCCACTATTGCACAGTCTCTGCACTCTCCTCTAAACCAGGGTCAGAAACACAAAAGCCAAGCTTGCTGTGTGTCATATATTTGGGGGCAAAGTCAAGGAATTTTCTGAAGCTGAGCTCATCTGTTTAATAGACACTTTCATCTAAGAAGCTCTGCGTGCTGTAAACGCGTTAGCACCTAGGTCCCGATAACACCCCTATTAAGAAAAAGACAAACAAAAGGAAACACACCAAGCTCATAAGTATACAGAACAGGTTGGTGGCCGCCAGAGGCGGGGGTGAGGGGAGGGCAAAGAGGGTGAGGCGGGGCAAGAGGAACAAACTTCCGGGCTTCCCCGGTGGCGCAGCGGTTGAGAGTCCGCCTGCCGATGCGGGGGACGCGGGTTCGTGCCCCGGTCCGGGAAGATCCCACATGCCGCGGAGCGGCTGGGCCCGTGAGCCATGGCCGCTGAGCCTGCGCGTCCGGAGCCTGTGCTCCGCAACGGGAGAGGCCACAACAGTGAGAGGCCCGCGTACCGCAAAAAAAAAAAAAAGGTGCAAACTTCCAGTTACAAGATAAACAAGTCCTGGGCATTCCATGTACAGCCCAGCGACTCTATTTAATAATACTGCATTGCATATTTCAAAGTTGCTAAGAGCTGAAATCTTAAAAGTCCCCATCACAAGAAAAAAGTTTTTATAACTATATAATGATGGCAGATGGTAACTAGTCTTATCGTGGTGATCATTTCGCAATGTATAGAGATATTGAATCATTATATTGTACACCTGGAACTAATATGTATACCTTCATACAAAAATTTTTAATAAAAAATTTTAAACAGAGGGAAGTTACATTGCCTTCCCCCAATGGTGGGGAAACTGGTAAAGACAGAGAAAAGTGATTTACTTGCACTCAGGGAACACAGCGGCGGAGACGGTGTCTCACACTGGCGTGCCTCACGGCCTGTTCCTTGATGTTCATTTGTTCTTTCATCCACTGTGCACCAGACACAGGGCTAGTCACGGGAAGCAAGCGTGAGCAAGGGCCTGCCCTCAGCCAGCTTATCATCTAATAGGTGTGGACAAGGTAACCAGGGTGGGTCTAAGGGAGCAGTCTCCACTGAGTCCTCACCATGCCTGGCATTCCCCCTCACAGCACCTCGTGAAGGAAAGATTTACCAGCCAGGACACGGAAGCCCAGAGGCTGCCCACCGGCACGTGCAGAGCAGGACCCCGACATGCTGCTGTTTCCCCGGTGCCCATTCACCCTGCAGCCAATGTCCCCCCACTCACAGCACCCGCCTCCCATGGGCAGCCCAGCCTGGCCTGGGCCACGGTGCCTGCTTTTTCTCAAGTGTCCTTTGGATGCCACTTGAGTCTCTCCTTGCTTGTTCATCCAGGAGGACAGGCGAATGGTCCCGGAGACATGAAGACAGACTTCATGGCCTTGGAGGAGACCACAGGACGGTCTCCAAACTCCCACCCAAAGAATAAGCCAGCTTCGCAGGGTCACACAGCACCAGGGGCCTCTTCAACATCCCCTGCAGGTGCACTAGTCTCCACCCTGGCCCGCTCGCACCGGGCGTCCACTGCATCACTCACCTCCCCCCGCCGCGCCAGCCTGCCACCTCCATCACGGTGCTGTCGGCCCCTCTCATCCTTGTAGCCTGAGCTCCATATGTGAAGTGTTTGCCTCCTGACATTCAAAGCTAAGCTTCTGAAACTCACAAAAAACCCAAAAATCCCTCTTTCTCCTACATACACATGGAGCCTGGTACATAGAGGTCAGAAACATCTTGGATGTCAACTTTCCTG